GCACAGAGGCATTCCTGGTAAGAAATAACCTTCAGTGATTTGAAACATAGTTCAATTGTCTCTGCCATAAATTTGAGAATAAGTGTCATATATGGGTGATAAAAATGGCATAGGCTATTTTTTATATACTCATTATTCACTTAGTTTGTCTTTTTCAATTAACGTGGAGTCTATCTTTCTCATCTGACTGGGTTTACGTTTCTTTCATAATCATATGTCAACAAACCACAATAGATGCAGCATAATGTGGCATACAGTGTAAATCTTTAGGTTAATCCTTAATGGTTTGGGGTTTTTTTTTTTATTATAGTTCATTTGGAATCACTTTGTAACTTGATCATGATTTGTACTGGTGTGGGTTTTTTATGGTATGCTTAATATGTTACAGCTTGATCTTTTCTCACCTCTTTAATGAAGAGGGAGGATGCTCAACTACTCAGCCAATGAGATTAGATGTATCTTGAGATCAGATATCCTTGATTATAATATTTTTTTTCTTGAACCTCTTAAAAGAGTTGTCTTATCTATTTACTTCATTTGAGGAGTCTTAGCAGTTTAGGTGTATTTCTGCTTTCTAAATCAATAATGAAACTGTTGCCTGTCAACATTTGGCATGATACTCGCTTTGTATGTAGCAACATGGCAAGATAGCCTTGCTTTTGGGGATGGTTAAGGTACAGCAATTTCTAAAGGCTGTCCTTTCCAGAACTTTGTGCTAAAAGGAATGCGCACCTACTTGTTAGGCTGCCATCAATGTGATATTTTTAGGCATCTTAGAGTGTCAGTCACTTTTATTTGACATATGCTCTGTTTATGTATGTGTATACAAATATTTTTTAAAAGACAGTTTAGCAAACTCTGGAAGAGTTGCTCTGGAGAGAAACTTTTAAATAGAGTTGGGAAGGAAGGGGGAGAGCAGAAGCAAAATGCTCATGTTTCTTGATTCAAGAGGACGGGCAGTCACGGGTATCGCTTGAAAATTTGTATTCAGGCCTGTTCCCTATTAATGAATTGCCCAAAAACTTTGAAATCAAATTAATTGTTTTCTAATGCCACCCCATGTAAAGCTGAAAGATACGTGGCAGATTGTTTAATGTTGGTGACCTTTGGACAGTGTGTGTGCACAAGTGTGCCCAGCTTGCAGCTACTTTCCAAAATTCTCTGGCCTGTCTTCCCAAATTCTGTGGCTTGCAGGAGCTTCTGGCTTTCTTATTCCTTGAGGTGGAGGAGAGAGATTGGAAAAGGCTTGTTGTGGCTGGAGGGATTGTTCTGCTGCCCTGCCGTTCCTTTCTTGTGTGACTGGCAGCTCATCTGCCAGGTGACCCCATGCAAGTGTCCCTTGTCATATGATGGCTGCATGTCCTGCCCTGAAACAGGACAGGGAGCTGCATGTGTGCCCTGCCATGTCAGTGGAAACATGCCTGTCTCTTAGCTGATTTATAATTGTTCTTTATCATTTGAATAGTGTGAACTCATCAGGTGATGAAGAAGTGATTAACTTTTTGATAATGTGATGGGCAACATTTTTTTTTTTTTTACAGAAGGAAAGGAGAAAGGATGACCCAGGGCATGGTTTTTGAGTGCCTCTATGAGAGTCCATTTGACCCACCCTGACACAAAAATGAGGTAGTTCTGCCCAAGTATCTTTGTTTATTAAGTGTGACTTATGATCACAATATTAAGCCCTATAAACAACAAAAGTGCTGTGATTTGTTATAATTAGTACTCTTTAACACAGCACTTGCTTTGGGCTAAAAATTTACAACATTCTTGAAAAAGCCTATCTGCATATTTTCAGCCTTCATTTAAAAAAAATAGCCCCAAAGACTTAAAACGATGAAAAACTTGCAGTGTTGTCTGTTTACAGTCATGGAAGTAAAGAGAACCACAAAATGTTTTAACAATGAAAAGCAAAATAAATCATAATTTTTTTCCTTGTAAAAGGAATGCAGATGCAAATGAAATTAAAATGGCCTTTCAGCTTTTGACTGTTGTGTGAAATGGCAATTAGGCTTTGAACTGTGTGAGCTGGTTGAGGTGGGCAGAGCTAGACGGTAGCATGACTTCCCTTTTCCGTCAGTCTGTAACCTGTATTGACAGAGCAATTTGTGAGTGGATCATGTCAATTGTATCTTTCAGTTCAGCACCTATTGTTCATTTCTGGAGGCAAATAAGTTCTCTGGGGTATGGTTCAGACAAAGTTAAAAATATGAGCTTTAAGAAACAGAGCAACAGATATGAGTATTCAAGCTATCAGGCAGTCTAACACACAAGCTTAAAAAAAAGTTGAGGTGTTGAATAGGTTCCGAAGTTTATTTCTCTTTGCAATTTTAGTGTTTTGAATGGAAACAACCTCTGCAATGTGTGATACTAAATAGCTGCTCAGTTTGTTAGAAACAAACAATTTATGGAAATAGATAATTTGTTTTGTTTGTTGTGTGGTGACTGATTAGTGAAAGTGCTTTTAAATCAGAAATCTGTTCAAAGAGGTTTTCTTTTTGGAGTTTATCTTTTATTCCTTTTTCAAATTCCTCACTGGACCAATGCCTACTGAAGCATGAAAGAAACATGTTTATACTCAAGTGCTTGTGACTAGTAGTTTACACATTCCTTTTCTGTATAGCATTAAACTAGCAGAGGAGAGAGATCATTCTGCAGAAGGAAGAGCAAGTAGGTGACTAGAATAGCAATGAGAAGTGGGTAAATTTTGCTGCTTCTGTCTGAAGTTCACTGTATGATACTTGCATCTGTCATACAAGTCCTGAGCTCTGTTCTTATACCATGGTAAATCACTTTGTGAAATGTCATAGAAACTGCGAGAATGTTTGTTACTTTATGTTAAGCCAGTGGTGAAGCTTTCCCTAACAGGGACTGCGCTTTCCACAGTGTGGAAGTACAGGTAGTGAAGAGATGATCATAACTTGGATAACTTTCTTGTACCTCGTCCAGAGGAGCTTAGGATAAGTTATTCATCCCGTGTGCATCTGGCACATCCCGAATGGATTTACAATGCTAGATCAGAAGGTAGCTTGAGCAAGATATATGACATTCTGTGTGAGTAGATAAGGAAATCTATGATATAGTAACGTGGAATTTTCCAAGTATATTGCTTGTTTAGTATCCTGTTGAGGATCATGTGTACATCAAGTCTGTCTTCATATTTTGGGATTCTGATGAATCAAGCTACATGTTTTCTCTGGACTTATGGAAGCAGTGGAGTTCCACGATGAGTACAGTGCATTCTGTTTGTGGCTACCTAAGCTCACAGAACTTGTTTTACAGTCTCACAGGAGAGGGAAGCCATCCCAGGGATGCCTTCTCTGTAACTGCTGCTGCTGTTCAGAAACAACAAACTTATCAGGAGCTTGTGCATGCCTGCTGTCTTTCTGTCTCCCCCACCTCATTACCTACTTTTACTGAGAATAGATGAAGCATCTACTTCAGCCCTGTAACTGCATTATTTCTGCTTTTGAAGTCCAAACTTTTCCAGAAAAGAACAGATTGCGTCAACAATATAGTTAGAATACACTGTAGATACGAAAATTTGAGGACTAAGCCTGAAGTGGTAATTCCTGCTTCTGATAACATAATTAAGGAGTATGTGGGGAAAAGAAACCAAGTTATCTCAACATTTGTTTGAAAGTATGAAAAAAAAAAAAAAAAACAACTTTGAGAGTCAGTCAAAACCAAAGATGACTGAGTTCTCAGCTGGGTTTTGAACTTTTCCAAAAAGTGAAGCAGCCCCTTGAGTTTAAATGAAGACTGCTGAGACAAAGTTCTGTGATGAATTAGTATCCAAAGATACTAAATTGCTCCTTATTTATAAATGTGACTAATTCCTCTAAGCTTTCACATATTGCTGCATAGGTAGAACTTTGAAGCTGCACTCTATTTTTTGAAACAAATCTGTAAAAGTGTAAAGGAAGAGATATTAAATCAGCGTGTTCTTCCCAGAGTGAAAGATTGGTCTGTACTGGAAAATCCTGTTGGGTTTCATTGAGGGGAAGAGCTGTTGGCAGTTTTGTGGTTTTTTTTTTTTCTTTCCCCCCCCCCCCCCCCCCAATAGTATAAGTATTGAGTCTTTTGACCTAAGGGAGGTTTTGTGGATGGTCAATGTCTTGGGGATTGCATGGGTCCTCATTTGCCCGCTGATCGGAAATTACAATCATTGGAATTCATGAAGATGTATAAATTTTCTGTGGGTTAGGACAAAATGTTTCCAGGGATGCTTGGTTTACGGCATAGGGGCTGTTGGGGGTGTGTCTGGAGGATTCATTAATACAGATATTAAGTGCCTTTCCTTCTGTCCTTTTAAAAAAGGAATGCCATAGAACTGAGAGTGGGTCCCCCCACCTCAGGGCTACTTTGGAATATGTGATGGGGAAGCATCTCTGTTTTGTGGGGAGGGGGATCAATATCATTCTTCAGAACTCTAAAACACTTTACAAAATGAAGATTTTGCCACGTTTTGTGATGACGGCAAGCCAATCTAAACATCTAAATAATAATCTGGTAAATTATTTATAAAGATTGAAATCTTTGTAATAGCTATGCTAGTGTTCTCAAAGAGTAACTTTTAACTTAATTTATTTTCCTGCAGCCTGTAATACAAAGTGGGATGTGTTTCTGTTGAACTTCTGTTTGCTAAAGAAAAAAACAGGCAATTAAGGCTTTCAGTTAGGAAATCTGCAGTAAATATTCATTTAATGTTGTTTTAAAATGTAAACTTTTGCATGTAAACATTTGAGTATGTAATTGGTTGTTTTGTATTTTGTATTTACATTATGAAAATGAGACGTCTTGTCTGATTTAAAGTTACAGGATTAAAATAGTACTACCCATACTTATTTGCATCTACACAGATTGAGCCAAAGTGTGTGTGTGTATGTATGGGGGGGGGCGGCAGGCACTGCATGGGGGTGTTTCTTACTAACATATGCTTCCCTTTATACAACAAACAGTTATTATCCATACAAATGAGAAATTTAAATTAACAAGCAGGACTTTTTTTGGTTGTATTTCTACTTTTCAGTTTTCAGGATAATTGTATGTTGATTGGTAGCTGTAAGAAACTTTTACAGTTATTTTTGGCAATTATTTTTGTTAACCAATAAAACATACTACTGGAGGAGTTACGCTTCCCCAGATTCTCAGTCACTGCGTTGTTTCTATCCTATAGAATGAATATTTGCTGTATTTACAAAGAACCATTGTAACTTTTATGGAATGCTTTGATTCTACATGATTATATAAATGCATGTTCTGGATAAGAATGAAAAAATACAGTTCAAATTAGAGCCTTAGTTTGTGATTCTGCAAGTGCAGGCATGCTTAACTTCAAGTACACGCTTGGGCTTGACTCTGTCAGTATGGTTATTGTGCCTACCTAATTGTTTGCAGGATTAAGACTTTGGATAGGAACTTTTAGTCAAGGAGGGAGTTCGGAGACAATGTGAGAACATTTGAAAATACTGTAACCAGTAAGTGACCTATATTAGCAGCTGGGTAGGCGTTACTGCTGAAATAATGAATTAGTCAACCATTTTGGTAACTTGAACTTCTGAAATAACATGACAGTAATACATGCATAAAGGCTATTTCCATGTTTTGGCTTTATCCCTTACTTTAGGTGATGGAAAGTAATTGTTATAGTACTGCAATTTATTAGGACTTATGTGGCATAATTAAGTGAGCAAGAATCAAATGTTACCGTAGGATTTGCTGTGCTAAGCATAAGTAGATCAGAGAACAAATGTATCCCATTTAGAATCTGAAATGTCCGTTAACTATGCTATGTGTAGGCCTGAAAATAATTTTCTTAGTTTTTTCACAGTAGTATCAGGACAAACTCCTTACAGCAGTATTTATCTTTTTTTTTTTTGACTGTGTTTTTTCTTTTTTGTTTAGATGTTGACACATTTATTTCCCAAACGCTAAAAGGAGAAAATCTATCCAAGAAAGCAAAGGAAAAAAGGGAAGTTCTTCTTAAGAAGATAAAAGATGTTAAAGCAAGGTAAGTGAGCTTTGTGGCTTTAGTATGTTATAAAATCACTTACTGATAACAAGTTTTTACAATCTTTTAATAAACATTAACAATATTAGCAATGAAAAATCTGTCTAGGTCCTGATTTTTTTCATTGCATGGGTTCAAGTCTTTGTATCTTTCTTGAGGTTGCTACAATTTAGTAAGAAATGGAAACAGAAGGATTCATTCCATTTGAATTACTGTAATATTCTGAACCCTGACTGCAAGCTGGTTGAGTAGAGCTTGCCTTCACCTCTGCTTTGGTAAGCTCTATTAAAACATGAGAAATACAATGCATTGATAATATGAATGAGCATACCTCCACGTCACCATACTCAGCTGGTGTAAACCAGCATAATTCAGTGCTAACTTTTTGCTTTACTGTATATTCTGTCGTTTAGCTCCATAATAGAAAATTGAAACATAACTGGAAACTATTCATAGATCATAAGTTTGTTTCAGCAGTGTTATAATAGTGAAGTACTATGAGAGACCAAGCAGAGGGCTGTGGTTTGTTGTTAGTGGTGTGTTTTTGTTTTTTTTTTTTCTTTTAAAGATCCGGTATGATTTGAGAGACTGTTCTATTGCGTTTTAATTTCAGTCAATTCAGCTACAGAGATTTGGCTGTAGTTTTATTTGTGCTACAAAATTTTCTTTGCAAAATTTCTTTTCTTACAACTCTAATCAATTAGGATATAATCTAGTACTTGCTGTTCTTTTCCCATTGTCGTTTCCAAAGTGTTTTTCTACTGATTATTCCTGTTGGATATCTCCTAACCCTTGCTTTGATGATATGCTTCTGCCTCTGTGGCAACTTGTTTACAGTTTCAAAGACGGCACAATCCTCTGGTGAGGGCATCGTTCCTTGTATCACACCAACTCTGTGGGAAGACATGAGATGTGTCCCAAAATCTTGTAATTGAAGATTTGTGTGCCTTTGATTCAGGCCATAAATGCTTAGGGAACTACTTTGTTTGTTTTTTAAAGGAACCAGGATTTTCTTTCTCTCTTACTTTTTTCTTCTTTTTTTCTTTTTCTCTTTTTGTGTGCTTTCCCTTCTGAGTTATTTAGCTTACTGGGACTGTACAGATGACTTGCAGGTACAGCATTACTGACTTTTTTTTCCTTCAGTCTTGTAACTCAACTATGGTTTTTTGGATGATGAAATATCAAAGGAGGGAACTTGCAGTTACGACCACAGTTGACACCGAGTCCCTTGCTGTTTGCTTACATGACCCCATGATTTCATGTCTTATTTTAATTTCTAATTCCTTCCTCGTCTTCTGTAACATTATTCACTGTTAACAGTGCTTTACTTCTCATTCAGGCTACAAAATACATGTACTCTGTAGTCTTTGATTTTTCACATCCCACATATCGGGCCGTGCCTAACTATTACTGCTACGCAGGATTTCTTAGATCTGGCATTTTATCTCTGTTTGCATATCTCAGTTTCTTATCCCTAGACCTTTCCTTTCTCTCCTGCTCGTTACTTGTGAGCATCTCTTTAGTGACTAGCCTGATACGTGCACCACTGCTTATTGTCTATAAAGATAGTCTTGGCAGCTGCATTTTATTTGCCAGTTACTTCTGGTGAAATCCTCTTCTTTTCACGTAAACTCTTGTCCATGCGTGCTTCTTGAGATGCCATTTTTACGTAACTCTGTCTTGATTATTATCTTTATACATAAAACTATATCCTCTGATTACTTTTGTTTCTGAAATATCAAGATTTAGCTCTGACAAAACAGTATTTTTTTCCCTCTGGGATGATAGTGGTCTTTTGGTTTTATTTAGGCATTAAATAAGTTGAGATTTTATTTAATTTTTTTTTTATTTAGGCATGCTTTAACTTTTAAATTTCTAGTTAATTTTTAATACTTTTTCATTTGGATTTGATAAATTACTGCAACTAAAACCACTCATTGTGGATTTTTTTTTTTCCTGCTG